ATTCAAGTAATGTCAAAAAAAGAATCAGGGCATGTCTCATATCTTTCTAAAATGTAATTATACACCATTTATTTTTATATAAAATTATACAAATATTAGAACTAAACCCATTTTATTCCTTTTTTTCAATTTAAGAATTATTTTTAAGTTTAAAAACAGCCAGAATGGTTGTTTAGTCAAAAATAATAATAATCCAAATCATATATAGTGCTATACTGCCCTCTTGTGTTCAAAATCAGGTAGGCCTATTGAATTTATAAATATTTATATATTAGGGATGTTACTATGGGAATATTTTCCCACCGGTTAATCAACGTGTGATTGTGTAAACCAATTGTGTAAACCTCCCGCTGGGGGGTTTAAAAACACTAACTTGAAAGCGAAAGTATAATATGGACGTCCGCACAGACATTGAAATGGTGGCGCTCGAATGAATTCCTATGGAAGTAGAAATTAACTAAACGTTCGCTCTGTTCTGCTCGCTCGTCGCCATGGACGCGCACCATTATGAATGCCAGTGCAGCCGCATACTTTTTAGTGTCACTAAAATTAGTGCAATTTCGGGGGCCGATTGCTTGAATTGTGAGTTCAATAGTCTATTATTTTTCACGGAAAACACAACAATAAAAGAGTACAATGACAGATTCGCTTAAATAGGCGTTTTTACATAAAATAGCCTATTCCATCATCATCTTTTCAGTCAGCTCTTCACTCTCGTGATTAATGAAATTTGACTCCTGTTGCTGATATTTGCTGCAACTTTCGTTCAGCTCACAATTTAGTAAGCAAACACGTTTCAAATGTGTTTTTATTTTATTTTTGTGTATGTGTGTGTATATGTATGTATATATATAAATATAGCTTATGTTTCAAATATGAGTTAATTAACAATCGTTGGAAAGAATGATACTTTTAAACATAACACTAAACCGTCATTAGGTGTCGCCAGGCGACCGTCTTAATGAGCGAGTCATTGATTCATTCGTTTGAACGACTGAGTCATTCATGAATGAGATAGATGTTTATGGATTGATTGGTCATTGAATCTTTGAGTCAACCGATTCGTTCAAAATGCTGAATCATTCAGTAATGAGAACGCGTTGCTGTGAGATGCGCGATGGTTCTGCTGTGATCTTTGTTTAACTATTTTCGCTGCTGAAACAGAAAAAAAGTCAATATTGCATGTAAAATGTAAGTGATTTGACTTGTGTGTGTGTGTGTGTGTGTGATTGTGTGTGTGATTGTGTCTGTTACAGTGATAAGAGTTTAACCCTTGTTAAACTTTAGGCCTTGTCTTTTTGGATATATATCTTTTTATATTAAAAAATAGTCATACAACCCATATATTTTAAATGTATTGTTTGCTTTAAATTACATTAAGATTGTATGTTTGGTAATTGAACCTGAATGAATTTTAAATGAATGTGCTATATTTCAGATCATATATTTGTTTTCCTTAAAATTTGAACTAACACTAACTTTATTCTCATCTGAATGATAGATTATTTATTTCTGTATAAAATAAAAACACATTTGATTTTTCTTTTTTAATCAATGTAGAATGTGTAACTGAAAAAATAAACAGATTAGGGCTCTGTTTGATGACAAGAAATGAAAACCAATGCGATATGATGAATGTCCAAAAGATGGCTCCCACAGACTGTTTTTAAATAGGATTGTTTGATATTTTTTGCTTTTAAACTGTGTGTGTGTGTGTGTGTGTAAGAGATTTTGGTTGGGTGACAGTTGTAGTTTACAGTTTGACAAGAGTTTATAGCTTGACAAAAGCACAATGTTGTGTTTTATTGCAAGTGTACACAAATATAAGTAAACACTTTGCAGTTTGAATAATGTCCTGTATGAACAAAAGGACGGAGTATGTTTTTATGTCTACATTGTTCAATTACGCCACACACACACACACACACACAAACACACACACACACACACACACACACACACACACACACACACACACACACACACACACAAACACTATTTTTCTAATCAGATCAGGCAAGTAATATTCTGTCTTGTCTCTTAAAAAAACAATATATATATATTTATGTATATATATATATATATATATATATATATATATATATATATATATATATGTGTGTGTGTGTGTGTGTGTGTGTTTGTGTGTGTATATATATAAATATAGCTGCGAGCAGCGATGAAAGGGCCAAAGCCGGCGGCACCGCCACCCCGGTTATAGCGCCACCAACTGGCAGCAGGAAGTCTGTCACTTTCAAAAAGCTTTGAAATCACCTGATTGCTTCAAACTTCACTACTATGATGTAAACACACGGCAGATGTAGACCTGGATGTAGACCTGACCTTTCAGAAGGTTGCTCTCGCATACTTTGTGGTTGATATGTGCCCTCAATGCACACTTTTGCAGAGCCCACACTGATACAAGCTCTACAGCACACTTCTTTTCGACAGTCAAAGCAGGGTTACGTTTTTGCACGTCGTGCACAATAACCCTAAAGGCACCAGGGTGGCGGTGCCACCGGCTTTATATATATATATATATATATATATATATATATAAATATAGCTGCGAGCAGCGATGAAGGGCCAAAGCCGGTGGTACCGCCACCCCGGTGCCTTTAGGTAACTAAAGGCACCGGGGTTGCGGTGCCACCGGCTTGGGCCCGTAATCGCTGCTCGCAGCTATATTATATATTTGATATTGGTGAAGTAGCCTATAGCATTGATTAGCTGTGGAGGGAGGGGTGTGGGGATTAAAATAATTCAGCAGAAGTAGGGATGTTTAGACCAGAAGGAAATCCCAGTCCCCCCTGGCAAATCACACTTTACTTAAAACCATGTTTTTAAAAACTCTAGGTTGTAGGGAACAGACCTCTCTGCCATGCGCGCGCACGGTTTGGAGCACAATATCTGTCTCGCATGCACGCTCGCTCTAAATAGATTACGGGATATTTTAACTAATTTACGGTATAACTAGTCGATCACGAGTGGCTCAACAGGTAGATCTATAGATAAACTATATCTTTCAGGAATTTGACTGACCGGGTTGACACTTCAGCGTGAGAAATCGGGGGGGTGGCGTGAGAGCCTGGAATAAATAAATAAAAAAATATATATAGCCTATATAAAACAAAACTGTATGGTGTAACAGAGTTTTAGAGCTAGACAAATCTCTCTGCAATAATAAATATAAAATATACAGCAGACCATGTTTGTGCGGGATTTGAACCTGTGTCATCTTGATGATGAACCATCAGTTCTACCGCTCGGCTATGAATTTTGTTACTGAGAAATAACCAAACGTTTGATTCTCACATGAGCGAGAAAACGTTTTGTCTTTAGCCTGTGAGTGTAGGCCTACTTTAACCTTTTACAGTTTTAAAAGATTATATCTTATCTGTATGACCAACAATTTGTTGTAGGCTTATTTGGAAATTACCATAACTTGTAGTATTTCATCCTTAGGCTACTGTTAATAGACATTAGCCCCACTTACGTTTTGCTAAATGTCCCTTTGCGCCACCTGGCGGTCATTTCGCGTACGACTTTGAAATGCGACTGGTTTATTTTTACCGCGGTGGATGGCTAAAAATGGTATGTGGATGGCTAAAATGTGTGACTAAAAATGTGCTTTTGGCTTTCATTTATATTTTGATTGTTTGTATATATATATATATATATATGTATATGTATATATATATATATATATATATATATATATATATATATATATATATATATATGTATATATATATATATATATATATATATATATATATATATATATATATATATATATATATATATATATATATATATATATATATATAATGAGCCTTTCATTCAGGGGTGTCACACAAGAAAGAATGCAAGGACAATATATATATATATATAAATAAATAAATATTTATATACACACACACACACACACACACACACACACACACATATATATATATATATATATATATGTGTGTGTGTGTGTGTGTGTGTGTGTGTGTGTATATAAATATTTATTTATTTATATATATATATTGTCCTTGCATTCTTTCTTGTGTGACACCCCTGAATGAAAGGCTCATTAGTATGCAGTCTGCTCAGGTGAGAACTGCCTAATTATTCATGAGGGGGTTGGGCCGATCCGCCCATCCGCATATTGCCTTTGCAAACAAAAAAATGTTTTTCACAATTTAAAACAATCTATTGTTTTATGTGAATGATTAGCCAGAATGATTTTCAGATCAATTTGAAGCAAATACTCTAGGCGACAACATCCACTAGTCAAAAGTCTTGTGGACAGATATTTAGTATGTTATTTGTGGCCATATATTAGAAAATTTATTTTTTAGTTTTTTCAATAACCACGCATAAACAATATTCTCTCAAAAATACAAACATGTACATACATGTTGCTCACATATAATGGTAGCCCTGTGTGTGCTATATAGAGTGTAATTTCACCTGTGCCATTAATATGTTTATAAGCAACTGAAAAATGCACAAATGTCAGAGCATGCCAAAACATCTCAAGGACCCCGAAAACACCTCAGACCCCAGAGGGTTAAGGTGGACGTTGACGCAATTTCTTTTAGAAACAAACTTTGTTATATTGTTTTCATGTTATCACTGTGAAGCGCTTTGATACAATCTGTATTGTAAAAAGCGCTATATAAATAAAGGTGACTTGACTTGACTTGACTAATAGTGCAAAATCATACCAATTTCTTATTATTTTGTCTTTATAACGTTTCTTTGTTTTAAATATTTCAAAACACTGTTTATTTCCAGATTTAAATTAGATTTTATATTCCAGATTTTCAATATCATCTCAGAATTTTGGACCACAATGAACAAACAATGGCAACATGCCACATGCAAAGAAAGAAATCAAGGCATCACAATTCCATGTGTTGTTGCTAAAAGTAAAGCATTGGTTGTGAAGGGAACAGACCAATCCTGAGACACCCTACTTGATCAGCGGTTTGTCCTGTCTTCTCCAGGTGGACTTCGACCAGCTGCAGGAAAACCTATGTCAGATGGAGCGCCGCTGCAAAGCATCCTGGGACCACCTGAAGGTCATCGCCAAACATGAAATCAAACCAGCCCTTAAGCAGCGCATGTCGGACTTCCTTAAAGACTGTGCAGAAAGAATTATCATCCTTAAAATTGTGCATCGCCGCATCATAAACAGGTGCATTAAATAAACAATAAAGCTGTTCACACAAATCCAATCTATGAGAGTGAAAAAAGTTACTTGAAATCTGATCTGACAGTTCAGATTGAGATATTGTTTCAGAAAATCTGTTTTCAAACCACCTACCGAATGTGGTTTGGGTCTAGTTTGCAAAAATATGGATTGGATTTTGTGTTTTTAGCTGTTCAGACGTATTCCAAAAAACTGTTTTTTTTTGCTGCCTGTCTGAACTAAACCATAGTTGAAGAGATTGTTCGAAAGTTATTTAAAGTAAACGTCCCTGTATTTGATCTACAGGTTTCATTCATTCCTGCTGTTCCTGGGCCACCCACCGTATGCGATAAGAGAGGTGAGCGTTCACCGCTTCAGTAAGATTCTGAGTGAGTTTGCACTTGAGTACCGCACCACCAGAGAGCGAGTACTGCAGCAAAAACAGAAACGAGCCAATCATCGCGAGAGGAACAAGACCCGGGGCAAAATGATCACCGAGGTGAGTGTGAACAATTGCAGTAGACTTTTCTATACCAGGTTTAGTTCTGAAATGCTAAAACAGATGTATTGAGTTGTTAACAGATAAAATGCACATTTTATAGAAAACATTTTTAAAGGGGATAGTTCACCCAAAAATGAAAATTCTCACCCTTACGTCGTTTCAAACCTGTATGACTGTCTTTCTTCTGCGGAACACACCAACACATACAAAAATTAATTTTGAAGAACTTTAGGAACCAAACATTTTTTAAAAATATCTTCTTTTTATTAACAATATGAAATTGAGTAAAATGATGACAGAATTTTTTTTTTTGGATGAACAATCCCTTAATATTAAGGGAAAATGGTAACACTACAATAAGGTGTAATTTGTTAACATTTTCATGAATGTTTACAGTATTTTTCATTATTCTAGATTGCGGTTAATCTAAAAAAAATACATATTTAACATTTAAGTTGTATAAATCTGTTCTATAAACTAACATAAATTAAAGGTGCAGTAAGTGATTTCTAAAAAACGCTGTTGAAAGTGGATCGGACTGAGCACCACAACACACTTGTAGCCAATCAGCAGTAGGGGGCGTGTAGGGTTGGGTATCGAAACGCGGTTCCAATAAGGAACCAGTTCCGACGTAAACGGTAGTAACGAGACCGAATAAGAACGAAAATTTCGGTGCCTGACTTATTTTTTACCGCCCCCTGTAAAATATCTCGCGGCACGAATGTTCCAATACATATAAATAAAACATCTCCAATTAATCAGCAGAGCATTCATTTTGTTTGTTTGTTCAATAAGAGACGATCTAGCGCTGAAAAGTGTTTTTTAAATCAAGTGATCAAAGTGCTCGTTGCCGCTGCGATCAGTGGCGCGGATACAGTGTTTTCTCTTGTGGCTCGCGCACACCCCACTGTCTTCACTCGGACAGGCGCTTCAATCCGTTGTGGAGAGACTCTCTATTTGTTCCGGTGAAATCACAAAATATAATGCACACAAATGTGTCCCTTCTTGATATACAACCACTGATGAGCATAATCGGTTTTGATGAGAAAAAAAGAATGTACGAATGCGGATTAGAACCCAGAGAACCTCTGACACGCTTGACGAAAGTTCAAGTTCAGCAGGCTGCCAGTGTCTCTATAGCACGCAGTGTGTTTATCGTGCAATTTATACGCGAAAATGTGTTTTTACGTGCAAATGATACGCAGTTTTCGGGGCATTTGATACGCACTTCATTGCCTGTAATACACACACATCCCACACCACTAATTCCACCCAAACGTATAATACACACGCACCCCACACCACTACTAAATCTACCCTAACCAACCCATGCGTATCCTATGCACGTAAAAACTAATTTGCGCGTATAAATTACACGATAAACACAATGCGTGGTATAGAGACGCATTTAGTGTGATCGGGTTGCGACATCACAGATGATGATAACAGCAGCTGTTCCTCTTCGGGTAAGTCTAGTAGGCCTATTTTAATGCCAACTGCAAATCTTGCATATCAAGTAGGCTAGCAAACACCGTTGCCATTCAACAGCGAGTGAGGCTATACTGTGTGTGTTAAATATTTCTGCTCAGTGTCAGATATTTCTCTGCTTAAAGTAAAAGTCATAATATGTGAAGACAAAATGTTGATCTTAACTGAAAACGTCTCGGTTACGGATGTAACCCTCGTTCCCTGAGTAGGGAACGGAGACGTTACGTCGGATGACGGAGAATGGGGGTTTCGCCAGAAAGCCTATCATCTTCGAGTATTAAAAAACGAGCCTATGGCAATGAAATGCCATGGGTCTGCGGAATTTGCATAATGTATCTCCGCCTCACCGCGTGAGTATTTAAGGAGAGACACCTGCAACAGCAGATCATGTCTTCGCTGAGGAGCCGAGACTGAACTCAGGCGTCTACCCAGCGGTACAGCGGAAGTGGCAGGGAGACGTAACGTCTCCGTTCCCTACTCAGGGAACGAGGGTTACATCAGTAACCGAGACGTTCCCTTTCGTAGTCACTCCGAGTTACGTCGGATGACGGAGAATGGGGGTCCCCGTGTAATCACGCCACCTTCACAGCTGTCTTCCAGTGCCCTGCGAAGTCTGACCTCCCTGTCGTGATATAGGCACGGACGAAAGAGTCCTACTTAACACAGGAATACCAAGGTACACTGGGAAGCATATCTCAGGGGAGATATGCCGCAGCATGCCTACCCGTAGGGAGGACTTAATAATACACATATGGCCCGAGGGGGCTACATATGGAGGAACACTGGAGTGACCAGCCCGTAGGGCGGCATCTACTTTCAACTCCAGGAGTGGCAAGGTGGCTTGCCGAGGGAAAGACACATGCTCAAAGAGGCTTACAGTGGAAATACACATGTGGGGGTTGCTCGGAGGAGGAACCATGCACACGGAGGCACCTAGCCGACGCACAGACAATAGACGCTGGCGGCAGCGTCAACAGTGCTGGAGGAACTCAGGGCTTCAGAGAGGAAGGCTACCTGAGGAATTATCGCACGTATCCAGTCCGTGGAGTGGAGTGGCGAGCAAGCGAAGACACCTAACGGTTCCCGTGTTTGCTTGAAAAAGACAGTACACGGGAGGAGACTGGCTCCACTGGGAGATTGTAAAATCTGGCGAATGTGTTAGGTGTCGCCCAGCCTGCAGCTCTGCAGATGTCTGTCAGCGAGGCGCCACGCGCTAAAGCCCAAGAGTCAAGTCAAGTCAAGTCACCTTTATTTATATAGCGCTTTTTACAATACAGATTGTATCAAAGCGCTTCACAGTGATAACATGAAAACAATATAACAAAGTTTGTTTCTAAAAGAAATTGCGTCAACGTCCACCTTAAGTAAGGCAGATCAATAATATTATTGAATATTAAATGTCCCCAACTAAGCAAGCCAAAAGCCAAGGCAACAGTGGCAAGGAACCAAAACTCCATCAGGTGACAGAATGGAGAAAAAAAAAAAACCTTGGGAGAAACCAGACTCAGTCGGGGGGCCAGTTCTCCTCTGGCCAACGAAGGAACAGTGCATGATTCGGGCAGCATTACAAGTCAGATTGGATCGGAACATTTAGAGTATTTTTTGGAAGTCCAAGTATGCACGCCGGTCTTAAGACAAGTTGTTGAGGATCAGTGCCGTCCACCATAGAGAGTCCATATCGCCCGTGTTGAGTCGTCACTTCACAGGCTTTGTGATTGGAGCATCTGAAGTCTCCGTGAGAGGCTGGATACAAACTGGAGCTGACGAACGCCATTTTCTCGGGACTCGCGTCCCGAGATAACAGCAGAAAAGCAAAGGGAAAATAATTAGCGTAGCTGCTGTTCATAATGATGATTTCCATAACACAGGCGTAAATGATAAAACATGAAGACAGTGACTCTTGCGTCCCAAAATCACCCCCCTCCATCCCCCACTCAACTCAGCCCAGCTTACTGACCTCTACGTCCCTCCTGCTGCTGAGACCTAACCACAATCTCACAATCTCTCCGCAACCCAACCATACGCGCCAACCCGTTGACTAAGGCTGTCGAGCCCCACTGGTGCGTGAATAGGCAGTTTCAGTGGACAACGGTTCCGTATGGCATACTACCTACCGCAACACAATATCTGCCCAACCACCCGTCATTCACGCAATATACACAGGAACGTAATGACTGCAAATACTATGCAACCTATACAGATAACCTACAGTCTCTTCAAGTTTTATAGTATTAAATGCATTTGATCTGATTCAGCAGTATTATAAAAGGTAAGCATTATGTAAATGCTTGGCTAAAGAGATGCGTCTTTAATCTAGTTTTAAACTGGGACAGCGAGTCAGAGCCTCGAAAAAAATATCAGGAAGGCTATTCCAGAGTTTAGGAGCTAAATGTGAGAACGCCCTCCCTCCTTTAGTGGACTTAGATATCCTAGGAATGACTAGAAGCCTCGAATTTAGTGATCTTAAAGAACGCGATGGATTGTAGGGCGATAGAAGGTCCATTAAATACACAGGAGCTAAACCATTTAGGGTTTTATAGGTCAGTAATAGTACTTTGTAATTGATACGGAACTTGATAGGTAACCAGTGTAGAGATGATAAAATTGGTGTTATATGATCATATTTTCTTGACCTAGTAAGAACTCTAGCGGCTGCATTTTGCACTAACTGTAGCTTGTTTATTGAGGATGCAGGACAACCAGCTAATAAAGCATTACAGTAATCTAGTCTCGAGGTCATGAATGCATGAACTAACTTTTCTGCATCGGAAACAGATAGCATGTTAAGTAATTTAGCAATGTTTCTAAGATGGAAAAAGGCTGTTCTTGTAACATATGAAATATGATTTTCGAAAGACAAGTTGCGGTCTAGTATAACTCCCAGGTCTTTTACCGTAGAGGATAAAGTAACAGGACATCCTTCTATATTAAAGTTGTATTGTAAGTGGTTTTGTGGATAGTTTTTTGGACCAACAAGTAATACCTCCGTTTTATCTGGATTTAGTAGCAGGAAATTATGCGTCATCCAGCATTTTATATCTTTAAGACACTCTGTCAATTTTGATGAGTTAGTGTTTTCATCTGGCCGTGATGAAATATATAATTGAGTGTCATCAGCATAACAGTGGAAATTAATTCCATGTTTTCTTATAATATTACCAAGTGGCAGCATATATATTGAGAATAGCAGAGGGCCTAACACCGATCCTTGCGGCACTCCATAGTCTACTGACGTTATCTTCGATTTTTCCCCATTTAAACAAACAAAATGGTAACGGTCTTATAAATACGATCTGAACCAGCTTAATGCCTGTCCCTGAACACCAGTGTAGATTTGTAGTCGATCCAAGAGTATTTTATGATCGATAGTGTCAAACGCAGAACTAAGATCGAGTAGAACTAATATTGAGATACAGCCTTGGTCAGAAGCTAAAAGTAAATCATTTGTAATTTTAACTAGCGCAGTTTCTGTGCTATGATGCGGTCTGAATCCTGACTGAAATTTTTCA